GGGCGGGGGGGTCGGGTGTATTTGGTCCATACCAATATTGTGGGAGTACCGTGTGTGTTTAGGGGCGGGGGGGTCGGGGCTGTTTTAACTTGCCAGAAATAGATGTGGGAGAGATAAACATGCGTAACTGTAAATATAAAGGTAAAATTTAGCAATAGCTCTTTGCTGAATCAGTCTGCTGATCTTCAGCACCAAGGGAAAAGAGAACTGATTGTATTTCAAAGCTATTCACTTTTTAAAATATGGGCAATATTGGGCAAATATGGGCATTGCACATGTAAAAGTGTACTGACCCAACCCTAATCAATTAAAAGACATGGCTTACAGTCATTACTGTAATCTAATTAGATTTGTTTTGTGATTGAGGACTTATAGTATGGAAGTTACCTGGGCTCTGGACAGTCCGTGTTTGCTGTGTCCGGATCCATCCATCAATCCATCCATCCATCAATCATCAAACTACATATCCAATTCAGAGTCTTGGCAGTGGGCTCGCATCAGCCAGAAGCATTCCTTCCTTTTCCACAGTGCAGTAACACTGGGAATACTGGTAGCCACACTCTGTTTTATAGAGTACTGCCTATGGAATTGGCCCAACTCCCCAAACTGTGCAGACTACAGTATAAGGAATGGTCTTCGATGCTGAATCTCTGGGTCTGTCTCCCCACTGACACGTGAACAATGAAATCCGCTTTTTATCATTCCTGCGGCAAGTCCCTCCCTCGCACGCCTATACTCTGCTAGAACATTGTTACTCCACTAACTGTTTTTAGTAATATAAACACATTAATAACAAATAATAATGCATTCATAAAGCACTATAAACAAGGCTATAAATCTTTATAAAAAGGCATACCACCTTATAGCCATGCTTATTATGCATTATGAATGCTTTATGAAGCTCTCATCTATAATGCACTATACAGTAAATACCTTCATAGTGCATTATAATGGTCGGTATAAGCATTAAGGATGCTTTGTACTGTGTACTTACGCACACAAAAAAATCTGCTCACATTACTCCTGGCCTCCATGATTGCCAGTCTCTTCAAGAATCAAATATAAAATTATCCTCATCACCTTCAAAGCCCTTCATGGTTTAGCCCCTCATTATCTGTCTGAGCTACTCGCTCTGTACACTCCTGCCCGTGCACTAAGATCATCCGATGCAGACTTACTCACTGTACCTAAGAACAGGTTATCAACTATGGGTGGCAAGGCATTTAGTGTAACAGCTCCTTAACTTTGGAATGCTCTTCCTCTTGGTCTCCATAAGGAAAAATCTGTTATCCATTTTAAGCTCCTGTTAAAAACACATCTATTCAATGAATATTATTCATCTTGTATGTAACTCGCCTGCCTTATTAAATGTGTTTTTCTGAAGTGTCTTTGATTGTTTGAAAGGCGCTATATAAATAAAACTATAGATGAGAGCTTCATAAGGCAGTTTAATGTGTTATGGCTTTTTATAAAGATTTATACCATGCTTATAATGCTTCATGAATGCATTATTATTTATGAATGTGTTATAAATTACGAAAAACGTGACCTTAAGTAAAGTGTTACAATGCATATGTCTGCTACTGTATCTTCATCAGTGTCACATATAGAATTACAGAGTTATAGTCCCGTATACATTAGCACAAGTTGCGTTCTTGTCTGTTAGAAAAATAATACAGTTGGTGTGTCAGGGATGGACCGTGACAAGCTTCAAATCTGCCATGTCAGTCACTTCACCAACAAGCAAAGGGCTCCACTAAAGGCTATTTCACGGCCCCATTGGCCTTATGTCAGACTTTTGCTTATAAAGGGGGCACGCAGGGAAGATCCCGCTGGGAAAACTGCCCATACACAATGTTGTTACACTTGGGTTACTCTGGCCCCCTGAGCCATCAAAGCCGCAGCGAAGACGTCCTGGCATGACTCAACCGCTCGCTGAAGGCACCGAGGCGACTAGGATCACTGCAATAATTTCAGGCTTCACACAGGTTTACAGCTAAATAGTGACAAGAAAATAAGCTCAGGCCCGACAGAGCTCATCCTGTGCTGTCACTCTGAATCAGACATTGATTTTGTGTTTTCCTTGTCTCTGTGAGTTATCTACTTAATACCAAAACGCTGTTTATTTATTTGTTTTATTTGACTCAAGCATTAGTCACTAGACTTAAGGTTCAGCATGTCGGTAAATTTTAAGATGGTTTGTTTAATACACAATATATTATATGGTATATGTAATTTTATTTAGCACCACGGGCGGCGCCAGGGGTGGGATTACAGGACCTACGCGAAACCCGGGTTTTTTTTTTATTACAGTCCTTTATAATCACCATTGGCGTGTTATGATGCGTGACAATTTCTGAGCTAAGTCCTGGGTTTCCTCATACCCTGAAACCGCCCCATCAAAATACACCCTTGAAACACAAGTTATTTTTGAGCAAGTATCTTATATTTTAAAAAATATTTATTTACTATTGATTTATTGGCAACGAACAAGTTCTGTGCATAGGGGTGTAATAAAAAACACCAATTGCCCGTGATAAAAACGCATGATACATCATTTCAAGGTTTTCCAGTAGATGGCGTCTTTCGGCATGTATAAAACGCATTGCCCCCTAAAAGCAGGATACCTTTCTGAGTACAAGCGCAATGTGGTCCATACTCTAAACATACGCTGTCGGGAAAGAGATGCATGTCGAGCCTGCGCTCGAAATACTTTTAGTGTCTGGGAAGAGGCGCCCAAATATCTCACGCAACAAGAAAGAATACAGGTTCACATTCATTTTCATTCTGTTTGCATTTGCATTTGAACTTCTAGCAGCTCTACCTGTATTTCTGAATTAACCACTGCTCGTTTTTTTTTTTGCTCTTAAACAATCCAGTTAAAATCAAGTGTACAAATGGAAGCCGAATAAATGCTGTGAAGAACTTAACCTGGATCTGACATCTTGGGACAGCATCTTGCACGGAAGAAATCACTGACAGTCGTGCTGCCGATGCAATTTCCCAAGGAAGCTTTGGAAGGGACATTAAAATCGGCAGCTCTCCGCTGCGAGTCAGCTGGAGCTCCAACCAAAATGTGTAGCGAATGCTATACCAACCAGACGTTTGTTTACGATGATGGGACCGCGCACGAACACACAGCCAGGTATACCGATTTACTTGTTACCATTCAATTTCTATTTTGATAGTTAAATATAATTTGTGTGTTCGTGACGACACTGCCTTGGTCGGTAGTTGCAATCAAGCGTAGGGATATATGGCTTTAAATGCACCCAAAATGAACGATTTATCTGCATTTCAGCATTTTTCAATATGCATCATTTCTCAGTGAAATGTGCATGATTCTGCCCTGACTCTGGGCTTTTGATACCGATGTCATACTGAATTACTGTGTTGCAGGTACGCTGCCTGGTCAGTGTGAAAGGAAACGGGCCAGCCAGCAGCTGTCATGAAATAAACAAAAAAGTTAAATCAGTTTAATGCTCCAGTGGGTTTTTTAGGGAAATTGATATAATCCTACCGGTGGCTGTATGAAAACGAAGGGGGACACCTTGTCTGTTCTATTGTATCTGTCTCATGTAGGTTGATTTATGAGCGTAATTAAATCATGCCGTAGTGCATACCGGTAAACAAGTGATTTCCTTTTGGATTAATTGATCCAGTATCATACGTGTCGGAAGAGAAAATCAGTGTCTTCATTTGACATTAGGGATAGCATACAGATAAATGCGGGATGGACTGAGGAATTATGCCGAGTTGGAGACAGCCTTATGTAGCCGAGGGGGGAGTGTACTGTAAAGCGTGGCCCCATATTCATCTCGGGGTGCCGGCAGTCAAGCAGAGACGCGGGATTCACTTTGGAAGAGCGAATTCCTCGGATAATGGCGAGGCTATTTGTGCTTCAGTGCTGGAAGAAACCAGCACGATTACTATAACATTTTCACATTGTTTTCTTTAAATAATACTTTGCCTATAACATTGAATGTTTTCCCACGATCATAAATTTTGTATTATCCATTATATATTTTCAGTTATATGTTATACTCTCATGTAGCCTACCCCTGTGTAAAATCATCGAATAAGAAGTCGCGTTACCCCCCCAGGGCAGACTTAATGCCGCGATTTTTGCTGCTTGCCCACCTAAAGGCTTGTGCCCGTCCGAGCCGCGCAGCCCCCGCGTCTCCTTCCCGGTGGGCACCGAGCCCGGTGGGGATACGGCTTTGAGGCGGTTACCCTCCTTCAGTCGTAGCTGTCACGTTGCGTTGTGCATGACGGAGAGAAATTCCAGCGGGCATGTACAGCAAGGATAACCTTTCACGAAAAGGAAACTCAGAGCTCCTTATAAGCCGTATGCTTATTAAAATAAAAGGATCTTCGAATGTAGGCTATATTAGGCTCAAAAGCCCATTATTAAATGAATGAATGAAAGTTACATTTATATAGCGCTTTTCAAGACACCCAAGTGCTACAGTATACAGAACCAATGGGGAGCCACTTTTATCTCTCTATATAGATTTACCTTTTTATTTGCTTATTTTTGAGTTGTGCTTCTACCCAAAGCAACTTCTTTTACCCATTCATACAGCTAGATACACTTGACCTTTCCTGTGGCGATAATGGAAAACGATGCTATATGACCATCGCTGTCTGCACCCGGCCAAGGCGGGACTGTGGTTCCTCTGTATCTTCGATCTCCAAGTCGAGTCATCAGACTGGACCAGTACAGAGCAGATCATAAATAAAGGACAGTATTTGTTGTCCCAGTGCTGTGAGAGGAACCCTTGCTGTCCCATCCGAAAAGGCACCCTGCATAATCACACCCCCACCTTGTTCACGCACACGCGCGCAGACACACGCATCCCGAGGATCCCTTACCAAAGTACAGCTTACACGCTGCTTCCTATTTCCTCGAGCTTGTTGTTGAAGCGGTACAGGATGCAGACTTTCTCTGGCCCTTGCTTTTCTGGCTGAACCACCAGGACTTACACACCTAATCTCTTCCACATGGGGATGCCGGCCATCTCCCATCCAGTTGCTGGGCAGATCCGTTATGGCATTGGGCTGCGAGCTGGGGGTTCCGCCTTGGCGATCGTCACATGCACCTGCTGCAAGCTTTTTTCAGGTCAAGGAGATGTTAGCGGTAGATGTGGTCCCAGCTGAAAGGGATGGATGGATGAGGATCACTTTAAGATTGCTGTTGTAGTAGAGGCTAGTAAACACAATTTTCCTTCATTTTTCATAATTTAGAGGTAATACTTATTTCCCAATTGGATAACTAACTGCCATTCATCAATTTACATCATTAGGCCTACATAAACAGTAAATTTGAGAAGGGTAGGGGGAGGGGGTGGTGGTTACAATTAAGGCTCAGTATTGGCTAATGCTGATTATTCCCCAGAAAACAGCTCTCTAATCTTTGCTAATCTGAGGTAGCCTGATACAGCACCAGCCATGAAGGACCTTCACTTAATGGGTTTTTAAGTCCTACTTACTATGGCTTTATATTACAAGAGAATAAGTGAGCAATTGGGGTCCTCATGCATGCTGGATGTGGACGAGTTATTAAAGTGAAGGAACTGTTACCCTATGACTCTCCTTGTGTTTCTAATAAAACAAAATACAGCGATGTTTTCTGTAAACAAATATATTTACATAATATTACATTACTGAAACAAATATATTTGCATAACAGGTCACTGAAGGGTAATGTGTCATTTGTAAGTTTAATGTTTCACTGTGAACAGATATAAATGTAGCAATTCATTGGCCTGACCTCAGAAATGACCTCAAAATATTCAATGTAATGTGCAATGTGACTGGACATAAATATGCTATGATGTAAAATCTTTATCTATCTATCTATCTATCTATCTATCTATCTATCTATCTATCTATCTATCTATCTATCTATCTATCTGTCTATCTATCAAAGGGTAGGTATTTGATCTTCACGTATTTGTTTCACAGCTATTTCTTGAGGTGAGTCTGCAGTGCAATAATAGGTCTGGTAATTAATCCAAATCTCACTGCGAAGGACATGATACGGTAACATAAGTTGTTATACAACATCTGTCATGTCCAGGGCCAGCGTGCTCCTATAGGCTTTACTATATTACTAATACGACAACATAGCATCTAATTAAAATGGTACCTGTAGCTGTGTTATGTGGCTCTCCATGGCCTTTATTTTTCTGTAATTGTATTTGACTGGATTTCTTTATATTGGAAAATACTTGTCTCGTTAACACAGACTGTTCAAATGTAACCAATGGAACGAATGCTAATTATTTCTCTTCAACACACTGGAAATGGAGAACTTGGGAATGAATCCAAGAATAGCCTATTTCTTCATGGGAAGTCCTGTGACTGTCTGAGGCTTTATCAATACCGACATCTCCAGAAGCCTTATTTGTAGCAGTTATTATGTCTTTCACCTGCTCTTTATGCCTAATTAGCTGATCAATGTGGGGCGCAATGCAAACCCATTTTGCAGGTAAACAGGTTGCGGGAAAGGACACTAACTGTAACTCCTCAAGATGACGCAGAGGATGGGTGATTAACGGCTTTTTACATTTATTTCCCCTTTTCTGCTTTAATTTATGTTTTTTTTTTTTAATTCCTTCCTAATCTCTTTTCAAGAGGCAGTCATGAGCCCACCACCTCACTCTCCGTGTTCCCATGGCGACAGGTAATACTTGACCCGTCAATCTCCCGCATGCGGAATGTCGCTCAGCGCGGCCCCCCAAGGAAAGCAGGATGCAACCCCCCTGTTCGGGTGTCAGCACGTCTGTCCGCCCTGACAGCCTTTACTGTACCTGCATGACTGAGTGAAGGGGATCTGTTACATTTCAGCACCAATTTCCGTTTAATTAAACACTTTTGTTGAAAATAACGAGCTTTGAATCTTTTTTTTTTCTTCCCCAGGAAAGAAAACATGTTTTGGTAATTATCTTCTAACAAAATGCATGTCATTGATTCAGTCCATTAAAAAAATGCATATATTTATATATACTGGAATATAAATGTATTGATTGCATTGCATGGGTTTATTTTTAGGTAGATTGTAGACACTTGTCATTTGTAAATATTGTGACTTTCACTGATGAAGATAATACCAGATCTGTATGTGGCCTTACGCCTCATTTCCGCTTGGATTCAGGCGCCATGTTTTCTGCGTGTCCGTGGGGAAGAGCATTGCGACAGTGTGGAGTTCCCTTTACAGACTGTGCGAAATTATCTCCCGATGGGGATGATTTCACGCACACGTGTGCAAAACACAGTCACATAAAGGGAAAGTAAAAACAACCGATTTGCCAGTTATGGAATGTAACTAGCATAATACTGAACTGAATCGATCCATTTCCTATAGCAGTTTTTTCCTTAAACTGTGATTTTTTTTTTTCAGAATGTCATATTTTAATTATTTTCCTATTTGGAGAAGACCCTTTCAATGATTCAGTAATAGTTAGATGTTACAGTATGAATGGTAATTTTATAACCAAGTTAAAAAAAGTGTTTAAATCACTTTCAAAAGCACTACAGGCCTCTACAGCCTGAATACTAATGAAATGGCATCTGCCTGCTTTGTGTTTATTTTTGTTTCCCATGTGATGTTCAGATAAACTAAAATAATTTTAACATACCAAGTGGATAGTACTCTAATACATCAGAAAGTCTGTCCAATTTAAACACACAAACCATGCACCAGAGATAAGTTTAGAAAAACAATTGGCAAAAGATTAATTTCCAATTAATCTTTCAAATTAAATAAACACCCCAATTTCCACTCCTCAACAGGCAATGAGGGCTTTTTACAAAACCTCTCCTGATAACGTTCTCCTCTCACAGAACACAATACACTCAGTCAATAAAGTCTTTAAGTTAATCCATTCAATTCAGTTTATTTTTATATAGTGTCTTTCACCCCCTGGCACTTTACATGTGGGTGATGCAATACATTCCTGTATCATTTCTACAGAATAATTAAAAAACGGGGGAAAATAAATGAAGAATAAAATTCAGCATCCCTCAGTGTGGCAGTCGTTGATGCCCCTGTGACACCCTGAAATATGTCCTCTCCACTGCTGAACAATCCGTGCAGAGTCTATCAAGGGTGGGTAGTTCAGGTCCAGAGAGTGAAAGTCCGGACCAAGATTTTGTTTCTACCACCAGTTGAGTACTCCTAGATTGTGACTGTTTATACTCAACTGGCTGGTTGAAATTCAGGTCTGGACCTGAATTACCTACCTTCCAGTGATAAGGCATTCAGCGCTCCCTAACAGAGCCATACAACCAGCAAACATGCATACACACACCCCTATCCTCCTTCTCTCTCCTGGAGCAGAATCTCCAATCTGCCATGCCCAATTAGGCACACTTGCCTTCAATCAACCTCCTGCTCAAACTCTTTACAGAACTATAAATGCACTTACGACAGTGAAACAGCTTGAATGACCATTTATGGTCATAAGAACATGGTGAACAGATGCACAAACAGGGCAGACGCAGCCTTTGTCTACAGGAAACGTGTCGCTGGCCGTCACGTTCACTAAGGAGGGCTGGTTTCCTTAACAACTCTCTTTAACGGCGGAACTTTTATAGCTTCACACTAAGTAGAGGGAAGTTCGGAGGCTGAATGTAACGCTGCCTTCAAAACCCGCAGGCCCTCACTTGAGACGGTGCAGAAAAACAACAGCAGCAACACTGGCATCATACTGGACATCTCCACGCTGAAGATGGCTGAGGTGGATTCCGAGGTGCCCCCCCTCCCTCCTCGGTATCGATTTCGGGATTTACTCCTAGGAGACCAGTCCTTCCAAAATGACGACAGGTACTGTACTTCTTCTTCTTGCAGTTCCTTAAACCAATGTTCCCAACCGGGTCCCCAGGGACCCCCAGACGTTCCATGTTTTTGCTCCCTCCCAGCTCCCTGCCATACTGTCCACATTTTTACTGCAAAACTGTGTACTGTCTGAGGGTTCCCCGAGGACCAGTTTGAGAAACACTGCCTCAAACCATCAATTTCAGCTCTCGGTGGAGCTGAAGTAAGTATAAAAATAGCCAAGAATAGTTTGAATCATTTCTAATTGCACATTTTGTAAACTCTCTTCTGGTGGAAAGGGGAATGCTGACTTTCTTAGGAACATGTGTTACATTAAATTGTATATTTTCATAAGCCATACATCTGGGGTGGGTTTTATTTTGCTTTCTTTTGGTCTTATAACCTATTTATGCTAAATTCAAGACAAATATCTGGTATTTATAGCAAACGGTTTGTAAATGCACAGGATGTACAGTCATGGGAAAAGAAAGTACACCCTCAGTTCTATGGTTTTATTTGTCAGGGCCTAAATAACTGCTATAAACAAATAAATCTAACCTTGGGTGACAAAACAGAAACATCAAATTTCGATATTCAGAAACCAAGTGTGGGGAAAATGCACACTATACTTTAGTGTCATGTACTGTATAACTGCCTTTAGCATCAGTAAGAGTTTATCGCTTTCACATCTATTAGGAGAAGTTTCAGCCCATTCTTCTTTAAAGCTTTGCTTCAGTCCATTGAGCGCATTCGGTTATCTCAGGGTTCCCCAGTTTCGGTCCAGTTTCGAAGTATAGAGATAAATTTATGCCTAAAGTAATCATATTTAAATGTCATGATGATCTCATAATTTTATGAGCCGCCTCATTTTCACGAGTATAATCCTCATTGTACAATTACAAATCACAATTTACGAGTCCATGATGTGTATGTTGCAATTACGAATCACAGTTCATGCATTTACAACTTAAACACTACATTTACGAAGCACTAGGTTCGTGAGGAATGATATGTTGCCAGTGGCCAATGGCATTTGACAAATCTCACTATCGTCTAGTTCTGATGAGCATAAACCAATGGAGAGCTCCAGAGAATGGAGGGGGAGGGGCTAAAAGTGGAACTTACCTTAATGAGGAGCTACAAATTAAGAGTCAGTGGACGAGTATGATAACCAGCAAACCATCTAGATATGGAACAAACAGCTTCTGAATGAATGTAATGATTTGCTACAATAAAACGAATTGAAATCAATTAATGGTTGAAATCCTAGATAACTAAATAAATGGATTTGAACGATATACCAACAAAATGCACGCCTTTGGATTTCCTTAACAATGACATAAAAACTGCAAGGAGGGGATTAGTTAACGTGGTTTCCTTATGCCTATGAATCTATTGCATATTATTGGCTACAAATTGACTAAACTGCTCTCATAAAATGAGATCCTAGAGTGCGACATGTGCAGTGTGAACTGAAAGTGCAAATCTGTTGTTGCAAATATCACAGTATAAGTGTACTTGCAAAATCGTTGCCTACAGGTCAAGTTACAGATTTACAAATATGATTTTGGATTTGCAATTCATTTTTTACGTCTGATTACTTTAGAAGTACATGTAATTCCATAGTGGAGAGCCAGAATCGAAAACAGTTTACAGACTTCCCTACTCAAGTACATCTTGATCAGCTAATTACTGGGTTTAGTAGGTGTTTTTGAACAGGGAAATCTGCAAAGTGTGTTGGATTCTGGACCAGAATTGGTTTAGTTCCTGCCATAGCATCTCAGTGGGGTTGAGGTCTGGACTTTGATTGGCCATTCCAACACCTTGTTTTTTTCTTCCTTATCCATCCAGATGTTGATTTGCTGGTGTTCTTCGGATCATTGTCCTGTTGCATGACCCTATTTTTACCCAGCTTCAGCTGTCAGACAGACGGCGTCATGTTTGCCTTGTTATAAAGTGGAGTTCATGGTCGTCTTGATGACTGCAACGTTCCCAGGTCCTGTGGTTGTAGGACAAGCCCAAATCATTACCCCTCCACCACTATGCTTGACAGTTGTTATGAGGTGCTTGCGATGATTCAGTGTTCTCCAAACATAGCACGGTACATGATGACCAAACATCTCCACCTTGGTCTCTTTGGCCCAAAAGATATTGTTCTAGAACCTTTGTGGTCATGCTGCCATATTATACCTGGAGAGAAGTGGCTTTTGCCTGTCCACTATTTCATCAAAGCCATACATGTTCAGTCTTTTCTAATCGTGCTATCATGAACATGAACATTTAACATGCTCAAGTCTGGTAACTACATTGAAGGGTCTCCGCGTGTAATTTGCTTCTGTGAGGTAATGGCTCATGTCCGTTCTTCTTGGCATGATGTAAACCAACCCCAAGGGCTTCAGACAACCAAACCGCCAACAGTTTGGCTTGAATAGCAGTAGTCGCACCGCTTGCTGGTGAATCTTGGAATATGTAATGTTTTTGTCAGCTGAGGTTAGAATTGTTTGTTTAGAGAAGTTGGTGAGGACCACAAATACTTTTTGTCTCACCGTTGTATCGCTGTTGTGCTGTGTGAAATTCACAAGACAATACGCTTGTAGGCAAAATGGCCATTGCATACTGCTATTGAATACATCTGACTTCCTATTTCCAAATAACCTGAATAGATTAAATGCATCTGTTAAGATGTTTTAACCTTTGCAGGTCTCTAAAGAAAACTGAACTTTAAGGCCAAAATATGAAATAGCTTTTGAATTCCAACTGTCTGTATTATGCAATCAGATGCCATCCGGCCTTTGAAGCTCATACCTGCTGTTCCACATTAAAATCACACGAGGAAAAAGCTCTTGGTATTCTGCAGCTTGAAATAAACTATTATTGTTTAAAGAATTTATGGTATTAGGAAAACAGTGGGCAACCACAATGGCAATTAAACAAGGAATTAAACAAATGTACTGCTTGCAGAGGCAATGTAAGAAAAAAACATCTGATATTCAGCCTTCCAAGACTTTTATACTTTAAATGTCAGACACATTGTTTGCCTATTTGTTTGCTTGTTTGTGTGTCTTATTCATTCATTAATTCATTGTTAATGTACTTTTTTATTTTTTGCTGCATAAGGGAAATGCATGATTTGTCGCCATCATTGATGCTGGTATAATTATTGAAGGTTACATTATATAAAGTTGGGGGGTATTGCAGAGGTCCAGTCAAACTCTGATCCCCTTTCTGCTGGCATTCTGTGATTGGTAATACAGTAATAATGTGCTGCTGTTTCTTACACTGGTGATGGCAAGAGGGGAATTCATACAAAGATACAACCTTATTTATTATTGTTGTTTTTTTCACGTTTTTTAATTAATATGTAATTTTCCTAGTCACAACAAAAGATGTAAAAGACAGACAAATCAACAAACAAACATTAAACTTATAAAGACAAATGTCTGACTGCGCATTGTATCTAAGCTTATATATATACATGTCTCCATTCTAATATTGCCATCTTTAATATCACCAGGTAGTTTTATGTCATTCACATAATTTGTCCTTTCCCATACTCGCTTATCCAGTACTTGGAAATCGTCCCAGAAAACACAGGGACACCCTGGACAGGATCCCAGTGCATTGCAGGACACACACACACACACACACGCACACACACACACACACACACACACCAGGGGGAGTTCAGAAACGCTAAATGACGTAACCGCATTAGCTATGTATTTCTTGAAGATTGTTTCAATTTCCCATTTACCATTTACTTTGTGTGAATATATATCGTCATTATAGAATGATGCCATATTAACTGGAGAAATGCTGTTTAGAGTTAAATTTTAAAACAGCAACACATTCCAAAATCCTTAACCTTAAGTAAATTGAGATTGAAATGGACTGGGAATACTGGTTCTCCATGTGGGGTTAGGCTTGGGAACTCAAGTGACTTTCAGTTGTTTTTTAAGAAAACACTCAGCTATTCTGGGACACTGGAAGCTGCTGTGGATTTTTTTCAGGGTAACGTTTTCAGATGGGAAATCTTAGTGCTCTCATTAATTCCCAGTGCTGGTTCAGTAAGCTAAGGAGGATGATCTCTATTGTTGCTGAACAATACCTTTCTCTGGACTCTGGAGATTTAACTTTTTTTTTTTGGTGTTTTAAAATTCCTTAATTTAATATTGTATAATAATGTACTTCCAGCTTTCATGTCACACTTTATGAGGTTCTTTAAGTGTAGAATCCATGCAAACAATGTTGTTTTAGACACTTTATCAGTGATGTCCTCAAATATTCAGCTGGCTCTAAGGTATTTCCCAGTTTGCAGCCAACAGAGGCAGTCTTGCGTGTTCAAACACAAACCATATATGTCACTGTGAGTTTTATATTACATTTCATCTTGGATCGCTTGGTGGAGTGTGACACTCATTTCATCAGTGGATTCAGCATGACATACATCTGTCTTTGAAGTTAGCACTGTACATTCAGAATCACACTGTGGGGCCATTGGCAAGACTGGTGCTTGAAAGTAGAACTGACATGCCCTGTGAGGGAAGTTCGGAATCACCAGTTAACCTGAAATGTAACACACCCACCCCCCCTGCATCCAGTGAACTCTAAACATAGATACTTTGAGCCACATTCAAAGTGCAGCGCTTGAGGTGTCAGTTGGCAACGGCACGCTAATACACCGCAAAATAAACAAAAGAATGAACATAAAAGAGGCAATGCATTAATGTGAGGGAGGTTTGTAAATGGACCAGACCAACCACAGAGGCTTAAGGTTGGACATCTTTTAGTTTGAAGTCCCTTAATAGCAGAAATTAAATGCAGGTATTGCAACATACAGTAAGGTGATTCCCAACGTAACAGGTTATCAACAATTACATCTAGTAGTAACTATGCCTTTCTACTTCCACCATAGGCAAAAAATGAAAATCATCCACAGTCCATATGGCCAGCATACCAGTATATCTGGTACTAGACCTTCTCAGTTGGCTTTTGGATAACTTGCAAGT